GGAAGCACAAAAAATATACTAAAGAAAATAACACCTTAAAAAACAGAATGGTGCAGGGGTTAGGAACCTGTAGCCTTGAGGATGCATGTGGCCTTCTAGATCCTCAACTGTGGCCCTTTGACTGAATCCAAACTTCACAGAACAAATAAAACAATAAAACAAAATTAAAAGAATGAATAAAAGAAGAAAATGTGAAATATCTCATTGGAAAAACAATTGATCTGGAAAATAGATCCAGGATAGATAATTTAAGAATCATTGGACTATCTGAAAGCTATTATCAAAAAAAGAGTCTAGCTATAATATTTTAGGAAATTGTCAAGGAAAACTGCACTGATATCCTAGAACCAAAGGGTAAAATAGAAATCAAAAGAATTCACCAGTCACCTCCTAAAAGAGATCCCAAAATGAGAACTCCCAGGAATATTATAAACAAATTACAGAGCTCTCAGGTCAAGGAAAAAACATTGCAAGCTGCCAGAAACAATTAAAATATCATGGAGCCACAGTCAGAATTACACAGGGTTTAGAGGCTTCTTTGTTAAAGGATCAGAGAGTGTAGAATATGATAATCCCAAAGACAGAGAAGCTAGGATTACAACCAAGAGTCACCTACTCAGCAGAACCAAATATAATCCTTCAAGGGAAAAAAACGGGTATTCAATGAAATAGAGGACTTTCAGGCATCCCTGATGAAAAGACCAGAGCTGAATAGAAAATTTGAGTACATGGGAAGTTAATACTCGTAACTCCAGTGAATTTTATCATTATTAGGACAGTTAGAAGGAGCATACATAAACAGAGGGCATGAATATGAGCTGACTACGATGGGATGATAGCTAAAAAAATAAAATTAAGGAGTAAGAAAGAGGAATGCACTTGAAGAAGAAGGAAGGGAGAGGTAGGATGGAGTAAATTATCTCACATGAAAGAGGCATGAAAGAGCTTCGACAGTGGAGAGGAAGATGGGGGGAGGGGAGTACAATGCTTGAACCTTACTTTCATCATAATTGGCTCAAAAAGGGAATAACATACACATTCAGTTGGGTATAGAAGTCTATCTTACCATACAGGGAAGTAGAAGGAGATGGAGATAAGAGAAGTGGGAGGGGGGAGGGGAGAAGGGCCTGACAGAAGAGAGGGCAGATTTGGGGAAGTAGAAGCAAAACACTTTTTAGAAGGAACAGCATGAAAGGAGAGAGAAGGGGGAAAAGGGAAAAAATAGGATGGAGGAAAATACACAGCAATCATAACTGTGAATATGAATGGGTTGAGCTCACCCATAAAACAAGCAGATAGCAGAGTGAATTAAAAATCCTACAAAACTGGGGGGGGAGGTGGAATTTACACCAAGTTTCTCTGATAAAGGTCTCATTTCTCAAATACATAGAGAACTGAGTCAAATTTATAAATAATAAAAAAAAGGTCATTCCCCAAGTAATAAATGGTCAAAGGATGTGTACAGGCACTTTCAGAAGAAGAAATCAAAGTTATCTCAGATCATATGAAAAAGTGCTCTAAATCACTACTGATTGGAGAAATGCAAATTAAAATGACTCTGAGGTACAACCTCACACCTATCGTGTTAGCTAATATGACAGAAGAGGAAAATGACGAATGTTGGAGGGGATGTGGGAAAATTGAGACACTAAAGCACTGGTCTGGAGCAATTTGGAACTATGCCCAAAGGACAATCAAACTGTGCATACTCTTTGAGCCAGCAATATTGCTACTAGATCTGTATCCCAGAGAGATTTTTTTTTTAAAAAAAGGGAAAGTGCTTATATGTACAAAGATATTTACAGCAGCTCTTTTTGTGGTGGCAAAGAATTAGAAATTGAGGGGATGCCCATTAGTTGGGAAATGGCTTAACAAGTCAAAGTATAGGATTATGATGGAGTACTTCTGTGCTATAACAAATGATGAGCAGGATGCTTTCAGAAAAACCTGGTTAGATTACATGAACTGATACAAAGTGAAGTGAGCAGAACCAGGAGAACATTGTACATAATAACAGAAATATTCTAATAATGATCAACTGTGAATGATTTAGCTATTCTCAGCAATACAATGATTAAGATAATTCCAAAGGACTTATGATGAAAAATGCTATCCATATCCAGAGAAAGAACTAATGCAGTCTGAATATACGTATATATCGAAGCATACTTTTTTTACTTTATTTTTCTTGGGAGGTTTTTTTGGTCTGTTTTTTCTTTCACAACATGACTCATATGGAAATATGTTTTGCATGACTGCACATGTATAGCCTACATCAAATTGCTTGTCATCTCAGGGAGGGGTAGGGGAGGAAAAGAGGGAGAGAATTTGGAACTCAATTTTAAAAAAATGAATGTTAAAAATTATTTTTACATATAATTAGAAAAAATGATATTTTAAAAAAAGAATGTGTGATGCAGGTCACATTCCTCTATAACTTGGGAGATATCAGTGTAGCCTGAGGCTTAGAGGGGTTAGGTGACTTGCCTATGGTTACACAGCTAGTAAGTGTCAGAGGTGGGATCTGAACCCAAGACTTCCTGATTCCAAGTACCACACTCCATGAGGCCCAGTATTCTATACTTCCTACTCTGGCCCAGAAAGGCATCAGTCTTTGGTTCAGGAAGTCAATGGGTTAGAGAAATCTTAGCAGAAACTTTTGTGTCCAAATGTTACAGATAGCGTAGAGAAGGATTATTGTTGTTTGTCCTTATCGTCAAAAAGGACCATGAGGTTAGGAAAGTATTATCAAGACTTGCAAGTGAATTGGATTCAAGTGAGATGGAGCTATGCAAAGTCATCAGTCTCACTCTCTCCCCCAGAGCAATTTTAGTCCAGTGGCAAGATATGGATCAGGACCACTGGAGATGGCCCCAGATGCAGTGGGAGACCTTCGCTTTTTGGACCTGGAGACCTCACTCTAGACCCCACACTAAGCTGTTATCTTTGTCAAGTCACCAATCCCCTTTGGGCCTCACTTTCCTCATCTGCAAAATTAAAAGGGTAGATTAGATGATGTGTAACTTCCCTTTCACAACACTTTGACTCAAGGAATAAAATCCATAGATGATTCCCTCAAACTCATTTCAATTACTAGCCTCAACTTCTTATCAAACCTTTATAATAACAGCATTGCTATGGAGGAACCAATGGGGTAGCTGGTCTAAGTCTCACTTCGTCTCCTTCCCTTCTACCCTCTGGTAGAGTTGCTCATGAGCTGGAAGGTGCCCCAAATCAGGGCAGCCAATGAAAAAAAGAGACACGAGGATCTCCGTCATAATTGAGAATTTGCTGTAATAATCCTTTGGTCAGTGCTTCCTGAAACTGTGTATCTAAAAAAGACAAGTGGTGGGTGTGTAGTGGCTTAAGCCCAAGAGGAACCAAGATTCTTATACCTGTACAAATCAGTTCTTCTCACTGAGGCTGTTTCTTCATCTGTAAAATGTGGAGTTTGAATGCGATTGGAGATTTAGAGCTCCGAGGGAACTCAGAAATCATCTAAGCCAACTCCTTTTATTTTATGGGTGAGGAAACTGAGGCCCAGAGAGGTTAAACAATTTCCACAAGGTCACACAGTTAGTAGTTGTCAGAGTCAGGAGCTTAATTTAGATTCTCTGACTCCAGACCCAGCACTCTTTCCCAGCAACAAACTGCCTCACCAGATGAGTTCCATTATACCTTCCACTTGCAAAATTCTAGGGTCCCTACAGGATGAGAGCACTTCTTTCCACACACAGACTGCTCTGGGTCAGATGCCAGCAGTCTGTAACCAAGATGAGATTTGTTTTTATTTACTCAAGGGCAGGTGCAGCAAATAGTCTACAGAGGAAGGCAATTGTGATCAATCCTGCTTCCCATGGTAACCGTCAAGGACACAAATCAATTGCCACTCCTTACATGGAATGTTGAAATGTGATATTCTGGCCTTCCTGGAACCTTTTAGCCATAAAGAAGGTTTTTGCTTTTACAAACAAACATTCGTCAATGGTGGATGGAAACTTTTAGGGATTACACACATATACATATGCACAAATACATTCATATATGTATATGTATATACATCTATGTATTTATCTATCTGGAGGAGAGACAGAAAGAGAGAAGAAGAAGAAGAAGAAGAAGAAGAAGAAGAAGAAGAAGGAGAAGAAGAAGAAGAAGAAGAAGAAGAAGAAGAAGAAGAAGAAGAAGAAGAAGAAAGAGGAGGAGAAGAAAGAGGAGGAGAAGGACAGAGAGAGACAAAGAAAGACACAGACTGAGAGACAGAGAAGAGAGACAGAGAGAAAAGGAAGATGGAAAATGCTAGCCTAAATTATCTATGTGTTCTAACTTCTGTGAGAAAATCCTCAATGTAAATATAATTCCTGCCACTATAAAAGTGCAACAAACATTTATTAAGGGGGGATGCAAATGAACCCCTCTAAAAAGTTACCAGAGAAGGAAATAGAAAGCACCTTCCCTTTAGTGTGGATTCCATCCCCTTTTCCCACACTAATCTCCTCCGTATTGATAAGTCAACACAAACGACTGTCTTCTCCTTGGTTCACTTCATAGACATCTTACAAACCATGGCTTTCCCATTGTGGGGTCTCGGGCCCCTTCACTTTAAAAGTCAACTTGTTCCTAGTCTGTTTCAGCCCGCTGCCCCACTCCCTCCCCTGAGTTTCTCCAGGGTTTACAGGCTTCTTAATGTGGCCATTAAGTGTGGGTAAATTATAGGGGCCCAGCCATCCAGGAGTGGAAATTGTTCCAGGAGGGTCAGATACCCTGCCAGAGAAGAACATGATCAGACTGCAGAAGGGAGCAAAGGAGAGAAAGAGGGTGCCTACCCGACAAGCCAGCTTGAGTCCGCCCTCTCCTCCTCCCTCCTAAGTCCATAGAGAGGCTCAGGTCTGCTGGGTGTTGTCCGCCCTCCCTCCCAGCAGAGTTCTGTAGCCTTAGGCACCCAGCTTGCCTCCCTCGCCTCCTGAACAACCACCCTCAAAAGGCACCAGGGAACTCACCCAAGAGCTTCCCAAGCAGCAGGCAGAAGATGAGGAGGAAGCCGGGAGTCCTCAAGTCACCTTGGCCCCTCTCAGTCATGATGCTGTCTAGGGCTCCAACCTCACAGGAGCTGAACGTTTCCTGTTTCCTGCTGCCTTTTTGTCAGCGCTCACTTTCTGAAGGAGATGTGTTTGAGGGTTTTTAGGAAGTGATGTAATTCTGTAGGAGCCTGTCAGACCAGCAAAGGATTGCAAAAGAGAAGCTTGCTATTCAAGCAGCAGGGATTCAGTGAGCACAGCTCGCCCCTGAAAGGTTTCTCTGAAAAGTTTCTCCTCTACACTCCTCCTTAGGCTTTGGTGTCAGTTACAGAGGTCAGTCCCAGGCACCTTAAACCAAGCTCATGCTACCTTCTTGACCTCAACCATCCGAAGGGCTGGTGTCCCAGGATTCCTGAGCCCACCCTTCACCAAAGGCATGGATAGGCAGCACACATCTGGAACAACATCGATGTTAAAAAGCATCTGCAACATTGCTCCCCTCCAGTGAAGTGTGTTGTTCTTCAGTCATTTCAGTCATGTCTGACTCTTTGTGACCCCATTTGGGGTTTTCTTGGCAGAGATACTGAAGTGGTTTGCCATTTCCTTCTCCAGCTCATTTTATAGATGAGGAAACTGAGGCAAACAGGGTTAAGTAATTTGCCCAGGGTCACTCAGCTACTAAGTGTCTGAGACCAGATTTGAACTCAGGAAGAGGAGTCTTCCTGACTTCAGGCCCCGCACTCTATCCACTGCATTAGCCTGTGTGACCTTGGACAAGTGAATTAACAGCCCTCAGCTTCAGTTTCTCCATCTGTAAAATGAAGTGGCTGGGCCACATGGACTTTCAAGTCCCTTCCCGTTCATCTATGTATGGCTCTTGTATGTTATTGGCCCTTGGGTACCTCTCCAGAGAGTATACCACACAGACATTTGTTTGGCTCACACTGACATTTGTTTTTCCCGAGAAGAAAATAATACCTCAAAAATTCACGGAGGGTGGGGGTAGGAGGAGAGGAATTCAGAGTTCTGCTTTCTTCCATCCTAGCTGAGAGTTTATTTCTCAAACCCTTCAAACCCTCTCAATCTCCACACAGGACTAGGTTGTAAACCCCAATCAATTTAACCTGTGTGGCAAGAGTTGTCCCCCATATGAAGAATTGGAATGTCGTTGTGTGGCTCAAAGGGAAGCAGAATAGACATTTCTAGCCTCTTCTCTCTCCACTTTTCTCCAAAGGAGATCTTAATAGGAATTATGTAGCAAATTGGGGGGGAAGGGGCAGGCAGATGGCAAAGGGAATAGAGTGCTGGGCCTGAAGTCAAGAACACTCATCTTCCTGAGTTCAAATCTATGCTCAGGTGACCCTGGGCAAATCACTTAACTCTGTTTGCCTCAGTTTCTTCATCTATAAAATGATCCGGAGAAGGAAATGGCAAACCACTTCAGCATGTCTGCCAAGAAAACCTCAAATGGGGTCACAGAGAGTCTGACACAACTGAAAAACGACTTGAACAAAGTAAACTAGGGCCAGAGGCTGGCCCTACTGCCTTCCAAATAGAATTTTATCTATCAGCTTCCTTAAATATTATCAATCTAAAGGATGTGATTTTCAAGTTCAAGCTAACTTCTGATCATTGTTTCATTAGTTTAGGGGGAAGGAAGAAGCTTTATATCCAAGACTTGACCTTTTCCCACCAAATACCAATTCCATAATGAACACAAATAGCAATTATCAAAGAAGCCAACTTAACCAATTCAGTAGCAAAACAGAAATCAGAAAAGGTATACATAGGAGGATATATACCACACAATACAGTGAGAAGTCTCTCCCATTGGGAATGAGGTAACTCAGCTAACCAAAGGAAAGAGCCCCAGATCTCATCCAAGGGGAATTACCCCCAAGTCCCTAGTGTAGCAAGCTGGGAGTAGGAATGTGATGGAAACCATCAGCTTTTCTCATGTTGGCTTCTTCCCAGAGTCTTTTCCTTCAGCATCCTAAGTGGAGTTGGCATCGTCCATCTTCTCTCTCAAAGCTGGAAGCTAGAAGCACCCAAAAGGGTTCAAAGAACCTGGAAAGGACTCACACAGGTGAGGGGCATCAATCTCCACCGATAAGAGTCCCACATGGATGGGCTTTGAGGCTGGAATTATATCCCATAGGCACTTACTTGAGTTTGGGGCAGGAAGTAGAGGTAAGGGCTGGGAAAGTGAAGACAGTGTTTGGTTTTTTTCATTTTTCCTAAAGTTCCTTCAGTTTTAAGATCTATCAATGCATTCGCTCAGAAATGTTTATTGTGAGAGACAAGCAGACAGAAATAAGAGAAAGACTGAGTGGTCTTCACATGTACCATTCTAACCCTCAATCTTCCCATTCTACCTTCCAACCACATACCTGTCCAACTGGCTCCTCTTCTCCATCAATGACATTTCCCCTCCACGCCCCATGCCCCTTCAAGGGCATTGTCACTCATGCCTGAGGCACTCTCCCTTCTATCCACCTCTTAGAATCCCAGCTCTGGTATCACCTTTTATAAGGAGCCCTTCTTGATTTCGTAGTTCTTGGTGTTCCATTCTCCCCCAACCTCCCCTTGAAAGTACTTCACCTTTATTTTATATTTCATTATTTAAGTACATATTGGTTCCCTCCCTACCCCCTAAGAATATAAACTACCCAAGGGCAAATAACTTTTCTTCGTATCTTAAGAAGGTGCTTAGCACATAGTAGGTGATGAATAAATTCTCATTAAATTCACCCTAGGTTACATGTTGACAGCATTTTCTAGTACTCTGCTTGATGTAAAGCAGAGACCTGCCTGTTATTCTTTGATTCTAGTCACATCCACTTATTTTTCTTAGCTCACTGCTGCATTAGTCACTGTTTATCACAATGCTCATCCCCAAGAAATAGGTTGGTGAGTAATGGAATGAACAGTTTGTTAATGGTTTTACAACATGCATGTTAATGTTTTGACCTGGCAATCAAATCCAACACTATTCCTTGATAGAATGCACTTTTGCATAATGTGGCAGTTTTTTTTTAAAATAGCAAAAAATAAATGGATACGTAATGACAGAATAGCTGTTTGGAAAAAAGATATTCAAGGCAAGAACTCTCTGTCAAACCCTTCCCAAGTAGAGGGCTTACAGACACTAGCCCTCTTGCTCAAACATCCATCAGCTTTGTATTTAATTTCCAATTATTCCTGTCCTTTTCTACATTTCCACAATGGGGAAATTTTTATGCAAGGGAAAAGGCCAACCACCTTATGATCTTTCTGGATTTTTCCAAATAGTTGAGCATTATTATTCTATTTTCTCAAATGGAAAAACCAAGTTTCACCCCCCAGTGAAGTTTCTTACCCAGGAGGCTAGAACATGGATTTGGGATTCCTTCTGCTTCTCCATTATCAGCACAGCCAGGCACTGGGCAGACAATTCCAACCATGTAGCATGTATGATGACTGCTGCTATCAAATGTTTCACGACACAGCAACAATAAATCAATTAGAAATGTACAAAGTGAACTAAGTCAGCTGGGAAATCCTATGTAGCAAAGTCATTTTCTTTTGACCGCATGCACTAGAAGGCCCTTAGTGTGATTAAGCTTATCTTAAAGTGAAGAAAATTACTACTACTGATCAGAAAATTATAGCACCTCAGTGATCTCTCAGCTGCAGTGAAGCTCACAGAGACCTGGGCTGTTCTGGGCTGTTTGTTCCATTTTTACTAGCCATTAATTTCACAAAATGACCCCCTATTCTCAGATTCAATCCTGATCTGCTCATGGGAGGAAGTCAGGGCCTCCTCAAAGCCACAAAGAATGAGAAAGACTTAGGGATTAAGGGCGTTCTGGTCTCAAAGTTTTTAGCTCCGAGGGAAGAGCTGGCCAGTTGCCTACCCGAGGCTCTCTCCCAGCAGGGGGGAATGCTTAGAAAGTGCAGTGAGCTTTTGAAGATGCTGTTTTCATCTTCAACAAGAAAGACTAACAAACAATCAGAGCTGGTGATCACGGTGTTCTAACAGGCATCGACGGGTGGCAATATCCAGGCTGCGAGCCTGGGAGTGAGGAAATCCTCTCCGCTCTTTTTGGAACCAAAAAAACAAAACAAACAAACAAAACACCAGTGGTTGGACCCAAAGCAGAAAGGCCCTTGAAGAGAATAGGTGCAGACATCACAACAGCCCCTCCCCATGATAAAGGACCACAGTGAAAAGGCCCCGCCCTCTGGCTTTGCTGCCTCTTCCCCTGCCTAAATGATGCTGCTACTGCTCCAGGATCATCCGGACAAGTGTCAAGGGTTCAGAGTGGTGAAAGTTTCAGAATAAATAATATATTTGTGGACATGTACACTGGAATTTAAGGCAGTTGGTGGTTCAGTGGATAAAGCACTGGGGTTAGAGTCAGAAAGATCTGAGTTCAAATTCCGACTCAGACACTTAGTTGTGAACCTGATCAAGTAATTTAACCTTTATTTGCTTCAATTGCTCGTCTGTAAAATAGAGACACGATGGAGAAGGAAATGGCAAATTACTCCAATATCTTTGCCAAGGAAATTCTTAAAGAGTCCAACGTGGCTGAATGACTGAACAACCATAACAACATTAGAATTTGCTTTGCTTGACTGTCCATTTTGTTACAAGATGTTTCTTTTCTTTCCTTTTTTTTTCCAGTGGGAAAGGGAGGCAGGAGGAAGATAAAATAAATACTCATTAATTGAAAAAAATAAAATGGAAGTTACATTTAAATGATAAAAATCTAAAAGTGAGGAGAAAGAGAAATGTATAAAAATAAGCTGAGCTAACCACTTCTCTCCTCCTCCTGAGGCAACCTTAACCTTAGGGAGGAGTTGGTGTCTTTATGCAGTCTGTGCTACCTATGCCTGTTGTTACTTAATTTTACTCCATACTTTTCCTAATTAATTTTTGTTTTGCTGTGAATAAAAAGTGTCACGGACTGAGGGTCACATTGGCTCAAGGTCACAAGTGGTTTTTGTCCACAATGTGGACAAAGCAATGGCAACCTATGGCAGACTAGATCAGGAATGGCAAACCAGGTAACTGGGCCAGTGCCTAGTCCAAGTGACCAAAGTCATGTTCCAGGAAGTCAATAAACCACATCAGAGACTAGGACAGAAAGGTTAATACATCAGAATTCTCTCAAC